TAGCGTGCGACCATTGATTTATATATCTGCAAGTATAAAAAAAAAAAAAAAAATATGTATATTTCTCAAATGTCTTTTGATGCAATATAAATTCATGAATTATTTTATATTATAGAGGCTCTTACTGCTTCTGCATCGTCGTAAGGGCGACACATGAGCGTTGGTTCCGGCAAGCAGCGTGTTATTTCATCAAAATTGCATTCGTTTCGGAATAAAGCGTGCTTCGCCTGATAGGCTGCACCTATCATAGCCGAATTAACTAGTTCCTGTCAAACGAAATGACAAATTATTGAAAGAGACTGTTCTAATTCGAAGATAGTAAGATAGAAGTAACTACCAATGCGTATACTGGCGAATTGAAAACGTCGGAGAGTACTTGCAGTATAGATTTGTTTGCGGATGCACCTCCGGTCGCAATTATGCGCGTATTTGGACCTACGAATAATTTGTTAAATTAAATTTAATTGCAAGATGTAAGAATATCTAATCATTTAACTTGACACTGTCTGTTCTTGCTCTTACCTATGACGAAACCAAAATCCTCGGCGTGAGCTCTTTTCGCGACAAACTGCCCTTCGATCAGGGCTCTCACTTCTACCTCCTTCGAGCTGTAACGCGATATCTCGTCGTTCGCTTTGTTGAAACGATGATCGCCGATGACGAACGGCAACATCTCTTGCGAGTCGAAGTACAAGCCTAAATTCCCGAAATTACCCCGCGGTGTGCTTTCCAGCAATTCGTTGAAGATCTGCCAAGAGCCCTGCGCCGCACTGTCGCGTATCCTCTCGCGAGTCAGGGACCCATTCTTGAAGCTAAAAATTTGCAATTGCAAGTGAAACGAGGAAACAATGGACTAGAGGAGGGAGTTACCCGAGCAACGCCATGTAAGCATCGTCATCAAGAGGATTGCAAAAGACGTGCCCTTCCAGAACAGTTTTCGGCCTCTTCAACCATAAAAACAAGCTGTCGCTCGTTCCCAAGCTACAAGCAATGTCTCCTTCTTTCAGTCTCATTCCTGGTGTGATAATAAAATTAAACACTTAGACTTATGGCGACATTTAAACTAGCACTAGATTTTCTTTCTTTCTTTTTTTCTTTTTTTTTTTTTTACAACTTGAGAAAGTCATAACATAATATTTACAGTGTGTATGTTTAAACGCATTCTTGTTCAAATTGAATTACAGCGTATTTCACACTCCATTAAGCTTGTTGCGATTTGTTAAAGTATTTTATAGTATATAGCGAACCTTAGAAAAAAAAAAAAAAAAAAAAGAGAGAGAGAGA